TTAGTGAGACCCTGTCTGAAAACGAAGAGCACTGGGGATGCAGCTCACTGTAAAGGCCCGGGTTAGATCCCCAGAGCTGCCCCAACAAACAAAACCAGTAACCTGAATCACTCACTCACTGGACTTTATACTCAAAACCATTTACCAGCTGAGACACTTTTATTTACTTCCCAACTAGGTTTAGAAGCATTTAAATGTTAAAAAAAAATCAGTTTCTCTAAACTCACTAATTCTGGGGAAGAAACCCTTTGTGTGATTTTTGGGGTGCTAATTCCTGGCAGGTGTAGCAGCTGCACTACCTGGGGCTTTCTCCTGGGAAGCTACACCATCCCACATCCCTGTCTGTGTTCTGCTCGTGCTCCTGTCTGGGAGGCAGTTTTAGACTCGTGCTCTTCTCTAGGGCAGTGATGGCAAACCTTTTAGAGCTTTCAGTGGTACAGCCTGCTGCAGCATACTCTTTGGGGTTAATTCATCCCAGGCTCTGTATCATCACCATTAGAGCTTTTTTAGTTAATGTTTGCCTGAGCATTCCAAGTCAGCATTTTTAAAAGGGGTGGGGTTGGGCTTCTGGGAGCAATGAAAAAAAAGCACCACAGGTGATTATCCCTGTATAGCAAGGGTTGTTCTGCTTCCTAGTCTAGGGGACTGTGAGAAATTTATAAATTGCCCACTGTTTTTGTTTTGTTTCTTTGGGCAGGGGCACAGGGAATCAAGCTCAGCCTTGCGCTTGCCAGGCACGCGCTGTGCCTCTGAGCTGTTTCCCAGCCCTTTGTTTTGTTTCTGTGGTACTGGGGATTGAACCCAAGGCCTTTGCATTGAGCTGTATCCCCAGCCTGCTCCCTCTTTTTTGGAGGGAGGGACTGACTTACTAAGTTCTCAGGCTGATCTAGGAACTTGGCAACCCTCCTGCCTCAGACTCCCAGAGTGTTAGGATTACTGCTGTGCACCACTACAGGTATTGTGTTGTAGTGACACAGACTAAAACGGAAATATACTGGTCTCTACTTTTGATTTGCCCATTGTGTAGTAAATATTTTAGTCTTTGTCCCCAGTTCTTGGCACAGCGCTTCTAAACCTTTAAGATTTCCTGAGTGATACTGTTTTTTCATAAAGAGTCTGTTTTGTAAGGTTCCTTTAGGACACATTTAAGTTTATACTGCTGAGGTGACTTAGTAGGGCCCCTGGGTAGATAGCCTCAGACCAGGTCACCAGAAAGAGCTAATAAATTATACTAGGTTGGAGACTCAGGCCCTCCAGGCAAGGGAAGGGAGCTAGAGGTTTGGTTATTAAAAAAAAAATGGGCTGAGGCAGGAGAATCACCCTTGAGTTTGAGGCCAGCCTAGGCTCCATAGGAAGACCTGTCTCAAACAAACAAAAACAATCAAAACTTTGGAAGCATCAGTTTTACAGAGCTTGGTAAATACATGATGGTGTTGGGAAGGTAGTTTGCCTCTCTGATCCTCCTTTGTTCCTTACCCTATGTGTTGCTTCCATCTAGTTGTTTCTGAAGCGTATCAGAAATGTAAGTTAGTGTTTTCTTAAGTTCTAGCAAATTATCAAACTGAGGGGGATATGGAACGCCTGTGTTTGTCGTTGGCTGGGAAGAAATGTGGGTAGTCTGGACACCTGTTTCTGACTGTAAAGTTTTGTGGGACCAAGCCCCTTAATTTGTGAGGTCTGATACCAAGTCTTGATATTGTCAGGACTGAATTGTTGAACACCTAGTTAGTGTTAGAAAATTGGTTGTTAATACGGGAAAAATCTCTACATTTGGTATTGGAAATGTTTTTGGAAAGAAGGCACCACACTCCTCAAGCTCCATTAAAAGCCTGCTACCCTAAGAAATCTGGCAGGGCGTGGTGGCGCACACCTGTAATCCCAGCACTCAGGAGGCTGAGGCAGGAGGATCATTGCAAGTTCAAGGCCAGCCTGGGCTACAAAGTGAGCACAAGGCCAGCCTGAACTGCATAGCGAGACCCTGTCTCAAAAAGACAAAAAAAAATTAAAAAAAAAAAACCTGAACAGTATTTTAGCTTAGTCAAATAATTTGAGCCAGACCATGATCTGAATAGCATAGATTGAGCCTAAAAGAATGGAACTGCCCAAAGCTGAGGGTGTGGCACAGGAGGTCAGGGCTGGGCTGGCTGTCTGGCTGTCTTCTTGAAGACTCATTAAGGGTTCTCCTTTGAGCTTTGTAATGATGCTTCCCTGTCAGGCATCTGACATTGGAGTGCTTGAACTGGAATCAGAACGGTGGTGGTGTGTGTACATCCTGAGGGCACTGTGATATGCAAAGCAGAGTGGCTCCAGACCCCAGCCTTCAGTGAAGTCCTGTTGTGCTTTTTGTGGCAAGGCCAGTGTAAAGCAGTGTGAGAGGCTAAACAGGAAAGGCATGTGTTGATTTAAAACTTTGTGTAATCATTTACTAGCTTACTGAGAGGCTAGTGGTGGGGTAAGCTGTAAATCCATATTTCATTTGGGGCCTTTGATTTGCTTTTTGTGATTAGCGTGACATACACTCTGCAACAAGTGTCTTCCTGAGGCTCAGCCAGGCCTTTTATGAGATGCAGTTTGTTGGAAAGCTGCACAGCCTACCCTTGCCTCCAGTGAACATAGTGAATTGATTAATAGGCTGCTCCATTTCTCCCTTAATTGCATAGTGTTGTATAGTGCTGTATTGGTTTAAAAGGACAGAAAACAGTTCAGATTATTATTGTACTTAGTAAAATTACAGTGACTATAAAATTAGTTTTTTCATTAAAAAAAGTTTTTTTTTTTTAGTACTGGGGATTGAACTCAGAACCTTGTGCTTGGCAGGCAGGTGCTTTGCCACTGAACTATATCCCCAGTCCTTTTTAAAAACTTTTTAAATTTCTTTTTATTTTTTTGTTACCGGGAATTGAATTCATGACCTCAGGCTTGCAAGGCAAGCGCTTATGCCACTGAGCTATATCCCTGGCTCCCTTTTTTAAAATTTTGAGACGCTATGTAGCCCAGGCTGACCTTGAACCCTGTGATCTTGCCTGCTTAGCCTCCCGCAGGTGCCTGGGTGCTGGGATCACAGGTGTGCGCCACCATACTTCACAACTATCAAGGGTGATTTTTAAACAAAGAATTTGCTATAGATAAATAAACCTATGAAACAAACTAGAGAAATTACCCTGGGAATAGTCCTGTGCATGTGTGCATGCTTGATTTCTGATAAAGGTAGCACCACAAAACAGAAGAGGAAGCAGAGGCAGTGTTCAGCAAAAGGTACATCCTGTTTCAGGGTGGCAGCTAAATTTGAGGTGAGTTTTAAAGCATGAAAAGCCAGGAGTGGTGGTGCACGCACTCGGGAGGCTGAGCAGGAGGATCGTTGCAAGGTTGAGACCAGCCTGAATTGCATATCGAGACCCTGTTTCAAAAAGACAAAAAAAAAAAAAAAAAACCAAACAAGAAAGCTACTTGCATCACATTTAAATGAAAAAAAGATTTTACTTGGAGTATTTAATTCTCACAAATAAGAGCTCTTGTGACAACTCAGAAAAAAATGAGATTTGAACTGCCAGTTCAAAAAAAGATGACATTCAGATGGTCAGTAAACATATAAAAGTCTTGAAACTCATTAGAAATCAGAGAAATGCAAAATAAATCCCACAAAATAATCTCTACATACCCACAGAATGGCTAAAATTTTTTGAGACTGAGTCTCCCTATGTAGTTCAAGCTGGCCTTGAACTTACTGTGTATCCTGGGCTGATCTAGAACTTGCGGTGATCCTCCTGCCTCAGCATCTTCCTGAGTGTTGGGCTGCTAGGATTACTGGCATGTGCTACCATGCCTGGCTAGCATGGCTAAATTTATTTTTTGAGACAAGGTCATGCTGTGTAGTTCAGCCTGGCCTTGAACTCACTATATATCCCAGGTTGGCCTCAAACTCAGGATACTCTTCCTGCCTCAGTCTTCCCAGTACTGGGATTATAGGTGTGAACCACGATGCCTGGATAATCAGAGGAATATGACCTTTAAGTACTAGAACTGTGTTTGTTTTCTTTCTTCCTTCCTTCCCTCCTTCCTTTTTCTCTCTCCCCTCTTTCTCTCTTTCTCTCCCCTTCCTTTCTTCTCTCTCTCTGTGTATGTTTTTATTTTTGTTTTTGTTTTTTTTTTCCGGTACCAGGAATCAAACTCATGACCTTGTGCTTGCCAGGCAGGTGCTATGCCGCTGAGCTAAGTCCCCAGCCCCTCTCTCTGTGTATGAAGGGGTCCAAAAGAGTCAGAGAGGGAAGAGAGCATTTTGTTTTGAGATAGGCTGACCTTGAACTTACTTTGTACCCCAGGCTGGCCTCGAACTCCCACCAATCCTCCTGCCTCAGCCTTCTAAATACTGGGATTATAGGTGTGCACCACTATGCCCAGGGAGAGGGATGGGGATAATAAAAGAATTAAACTGTGTCATATATGTGTACCATCTCTGCATGATGAATGTAATCATGTAAAAGTTTAAATTTAAATAGGGTGTGGTGCAAACCTCTAATCCCAGCACTCTGGAGGCTGAGGCAGGAGGATCACCAGTGAGTTGAAGGCCAGTCTGGGCTACATAAGAGTCCAAGGCCAGGCTAACTGCATAGCAACACTCAGTCTTGAAAAAGCTTAATTTCAAAGAAATTTTTAGATTCCTTAGGCTTTTTCTGTAAATGGAGTGCAGGAAAATAGTCACTGGACCCTTGATCACTACAGTTTTACAAACACGTGCCTCACAAATGGGAATGGCCAGAGATACAGATACATTGTTTCTGCCCCAGGGGTTGCCTGCTGGACCTAGGTAAAGTGAGACACACCAGTGACCCGTGTGTCTGAAGTGGGCACAAAGGATGTTACAGTGGGGCCCAAGGAGATGGTTCATTGTGTGTTACCATTGGTACTGCTTGGACATGGAAGAGTAGGCAGGTTATATGTTACGACTGGATTCCAAAGTAAGTAGAAAATTCCAACCGTGCCTTTTCTTGATCCCCTTCAGGCTCCTGGGTAGAATTGCACTTCAGCAATAATGGGAATGGCAACAGTGTTCCAGCCTCAGTTTCTATTTATAATGGTGACATGGAAAAAATACTCCTAGATGCCCAGCATGAATCTGGACGGAGTAGCTCCAAGAGTTCTCACTGTGACAGGTAGGTCTAAGTAAGTACATGCATTATAGTGCTTGGTGGCCTGAATGAAAGAATAGTCACAGGTGTGCATGACTTTCTGGGAGAGGCTTCTGAAAGAACCTTGCCATGTCGTTGGAGGATAGGACCTGGGGTTTAGTCTGCAGGGACCCTGTTAAAGTTAGGAAGCATACAAATAAAGAGCCCGTGCTTCCTCCCCGTAACAGCTGCTACCTCTGAAGGTGGCCATTACAGTATGAACCCCAAGTCTGAGAAATTCACTTCTGTTGCTTAGTGGGCTTGTCAGAGAGCTGCAGGTTCCTGGTAGCAGAATGTCGGACTGAATCCAAGGAAGCATGGCTGAGTCAGTGATCAAAGGTCAGGTGCTTCCCAGGGCTGTTGGAGACCATGTAGCTAGTGGGTGAGGGAGCCAGACTCACTGGTTGTCTCTTGCCTCTTCTCCAGAAGACTGGCTGGCTGACTCCTTTTTGTGCTCAGTTGAAAAGACCAAAGAACTGTTGGACACTGGTCTGATGTTAGGCGGAAGGGAAGATGTATGCTGGCAAGAACCCTCCATCCTGTCCTTTTTTATTTTATTGGTACATTTTAGATAAATACATAATCACATTCATCATAGGGAATTCGTACCTGTACATGATATATCTTCTTTTTTTCTATTCCCCTCTCCTCCTTCCAACCTCCCCTTCCTTTCTCATTTATAAAAGCGTTGTTTCTTACCATTTTTTCCTTTTATTTGTTTCTTGTCCCTTCTTTCCTGCCCACCCCCCCTGTTCTCCTTCTCATTTGAACATATTTTTCCTATTTCCCAATCATCTGTTACACATTTTGGTCTTTATTTACACTCTTGGTTTCTTATACTAGAGAAACAATGCCATATCTTTATCCATTCATCAGCTGATGGGCATTTAGGCTGTTTCCAGGATTCAGCTATTATAAACTGTGCTGCTATAAACATAAGTGTGTGTGTATTGCCATGGTACAATGCTTTTAATATTTTGGGGAAGATGCCAGGAAGGAATAGCTGGGTGGAATGGAACCTAGTTTTAGTTTTTTGAGGCATCTCCACACTGATTTCCACAGTGGTTGGACCAGTTTATCCTGTCCTTAACCAGGGAGATGCTCCTTTTATGGTTTTGCTTCTGTTGGCGGAATGTTAACACAGTGCTCTGTTTTTCTCATTATCTTCCCATTATCAAGCCCACCTCGTTCACAGACACCACAAGATATTAATAGAGCTTCTGAAACAGATACACATAGCATTGGAGAAAAGAACAGCTCTCAGGTAAGCTAGGGGAAGATGAACAGTTGTGTAAACATTTGTAGTGTCTTTGTATAGTAAACTATTTCAAATGCAATTAAGTAATTTAGGCTGGCTATGGTGGTGCACGCCTGTAATCCCAGCATTCAGGAGGCTGAGGCAGGAGGATCACTATGAGTTTGAGGCCAGGCTGGGCTACATAGTGAGTTCAAGACCTGCCTGAACTGCATGGTGAGGAACTATCTCAAAAAACAAAATAAAAAAATCAAGTGATTTAGGGTGTATCTCTTGCCTTAAAAACAACAACAAAAAAACTAGTCATCATGGTGCACACCTTTAATCCTAGTACTTGAGGCCAGCCTGGACTATATAGTTCAGGGGCAGTCTGAACTACAGAGTGAAATCCTGTCTCAACACCACCCTCAACAAAAAACCCAAAATAGTTGGATGTGGATCTCCCCAACACATGGGCTTCACAGTGAGCTGACCAGGAGATGCGCTGAGAGGGATGTGCAGTGTTTAGCTTGGGGCTCCACTGCCCCACCTGCCACCCAGAGACAAGAATGGAGCCTGTGGGGCGGGAGGGGGTGGCCCTTTTGAAGGGGAAGGTGGCTGTGAGTGTGCAGCTTGGGTGCACTCGCTGTCAGGGCTCTTGGCTGGGCAGTGAAAGGGTTAGGCATCTCCACAGAGTCGTTCAGGGCCCTTCCCATTGTGCGTATGATTCTGGACGTCTTCCCTGGCCTTTCCTAATACCCAGTGCCAGCTGATGCTTGGGAAGTTTAGCTTTAGGAGCTCACGGCCGTAGAAATTTCCATGTGAGATCATTTTTCTAACATTAACAGATAATGAGTCTTACATATCAAAACTTAAAAAGGGCATAAATTTGAGGAAAAGGTACAGCAGGGGTTATTGGCTTAGTTTACTATAATTTTCCATTCTTCTCCTGCATAGGATTTTTTTGTTTGTCTTTTGTTTTTTGTCTTCTTGAGACAGGGTCTCACTATGCAGTTCAGACTGGCTTGGAGCTCACTTTATAGTCCAAGCTGGCCTTGAACTTGCAACGATCCTCCTGCCTCAGCCTCCCAAGTGCTGGGATTATAGGCGTGCACCACCACACCTGGCCTGCATAGGATTTTGAGGTAGTGATCAGTAATATCTTTAGCTACATCTAGTAATGCTGTACCTTGTGCATATGAGATGCAGAGTAAGTGTTCTCTTGCATAATTAATAATGGCAAGAATATAGATTGTTGAAGTTTCCTCTTGTAATTCTAGAGCTGTCTTAGGAAGCAGAGACTTAGTTAATGTTAGTCCTGCCTCCTCCCCTGCTGTTTCCTCACCAGGCCTCCACCCCTGAGAAACTGAGTGCTTCGCTTCCCTCAACTTTCTAAAGACGGCTCTCTGGCCCCCACCAGGACTCCAGAGGTTTCCAGAGCTCAGTAGGGATTCTAGGTCAATGAGAATTCTGGGGCATGTGACCTACTTCTAGACATTTGGGGTTCATGTCTATTTTTATACCCAGATGTTTGCTTAGTGGGTTTTTTTGTTGTTGTTGTTTTGTTTTACTGGGAATTGAACTCAGGGCCTTGCACTTGCCAGGTAGGCACTGTGCCACTGAAGTATACTCCTGGCCCTGCTAAGCTTTTTTTTTTCTTTTGTCTTTTTGAGACAGGGTCTTGCTATGCAGTTCAGGCTGGCCTTGAGCTCACTTTATAGCCCAGGCTGGTCTTGAACTCTTAGTAATCTTCCTGCCTCAGCCTCCTGAGTACTGGGATTATAGGCATTTGCCACCACACATGGCAAAAGTTTTTTTTTTTTTTTTTTTTTCGGTACAGGGAATCGAAGTATTGACCTTGCACTTGCTGGGCAGGTGCTGTGCTGCTAAGCTTTTTTCCCAGCCCTCCTGCTAAGCTTTTTTTTTTTTTTTTGTCTTTCTGAGACAGGGTCTCACTATGCAGTTCAGGCTGGCCTTGAGCTCACTTTGTAGCCCAGACTGGTCTCAATTTGCAGTGATCCTCCTGCCTCAGCCTCCTGAGTGCTGGGATTACACACGTGAGCTACCAGCCTGGCTAAGCTTTAGTACTACATTCTGGAGTGATATTTTAACTCTCCCAATTTTAAAAGGAATTATAGCTCAGGTACAGATTTTGAAAATACAAGAAAGCAGAGAAAAACATAGTCATATATTTTAAAATATATAATCTCATATTTTAAAATCTGTATTTGATACTCATACCTAATTTTAAAAATGTAGCTAAAATTAGTTATGTATAAATTTGTTTTCTTCCTGCCTAAATGGAGAGCATCTCTTAAAAGTGTTACATAATATTTTCTTAACTACACCTGTTTTAAGCCATTCTGAATTGTTCTCATTTTGTTCTCTTATAACCAGTGCTATAATCACTGTCTTTGTCTTCATGCCACATTATTTCTTTTGAACAGTGTTTGCACAGTTCTTAGTCCTACTAGAATGTCACAGTTGACCCCAGTATCTAAATAGATGGGGCAGAGTTTGTCTTGAAAGGCGTAGACTGTGCCAAAAGCCAGTGTGTGATGGGACTCTGGAGCTCCAGCTCGCCTCTTCATGAGTGCCTTTGAACCCTGATCTAAGAAGCTGGACTTGTGTCTCTGGGCTCTGCATTCTATGTGGTGAGCTCATGCTTTTTGGTACAAGTGCGATAGGCTAATCTGTTCTTGAATATTTATTTTAGTCTGAGGAAGATTACATTGAGAGAAGGAAAGAAGTTGAAAGCATCTTGAAGAAAAACTCAGATTGGATATGGGATTGGTCAAGTCGGCCAGAAAATATACCCCCTAAGTAAGTCTGTTTCTGGTATCCTGGGTTCTTGGTTTGACAGCAGACACATTGACACTAACATTCTTTCTCCCCCAGGGAGTTCCTTTTTAAACACCCGAAGCGCACAGCTACTCTCAGTATGAGAAACACAAGTGTTATGAAGAAAGGGGGCATTTTCTCAGCAGAATTTCTGAAGGTTTTTCTTCCATCCCTGCTACTGTCTCATATACTAGCCATTGGATTGGGGTAAGTGACTTTACCATGTGACTCCTGGCATAGTGGCCTTGGGGTGATTTTAGGTCTTGGTAATTTGTTTCTTAACTTCTTTTACTAAAGTTGAGACCATAAGCTGTAGATTGGTGCATTTTCACAAAGATGCCCTAATTGTCACTGCTTCTGTCAAGAAATAGAAATGACCTAAAATCCTGGATAGACCCTTCCTGCTCCCTTCATTCAGGGCACTCTTCTTTTTTACCCATATCTTTGTGTGTAGCTCAAATCGGTCTCATTCGTGTATTGTATTACATTGCTATAAATGGATGGCTCAGTAACTTGCTGTATTTTCTATAGGACGGGATTGTTCTGTTTAACTCTCAGCAATACAGGAAGAAAAAAGGCCTCCAGTTTTCTGGCTTCTTAAGTAACTACAGAAAATATAAGAAACACAAACAAACCAGTAAGAGAGGTCAGAGAAGTGCAACTATAAATTCTACAGACTTTTAACTGAACAGTGCTGAAGAACCAGAGCAGGAAGCTGAGGGGAAGCCAGATAGTGAGGGCTCGTCCTTAGCCTCTTTGCAGCTGGGTGGTGAACTCACATGGCCCAGTGTGCAGTGTTCTGTGGCTGTAGTTCATTGGATTTTTTTTTTTTTTTTTTTTGGTCCTTTTGAGACAGGGTCTCGCTGTGCAGTTCAGGCTGGCCTTGAGCTCACTGTGTAGCCCAGGCTGGTCTCGAATTTGCAATGATCTTCCTGCCTCAGCCTCTCGAGTGCTGGGATTACAGGTGTGTGCCACCACGCTCGCCTGTAGTTTATTGGGTTAGTGGGGATGCCAGTATGAGCTTCTGCCTTATGATGTCAGCAGGGCTCGTGTGTTGGAGTCAGAGGGAAATAGGATGAAAAATGTCCTGTAGGATATCACCCTTTCCACCAGAATTCATTCATGTGGCTGCTGAGACCTGATCTGGTTTTTTTTCCTAGTCAAATTTATTGGTACATTTTGGATGTACATAATGATCACTTTTATCAGAGAATTTATACTTGTACATGATAAAACTTTTTTTTTTCCCATTGCCCTACCCTCCCTTCAACCCCTCCTCCCTTTGCCATTCACAAAAACTTTGTTTCCATTTTCCTTCTTTTCCCTTTATTTTAAACTTTTCTTTCCGCCTTCCCTTGTTTCCATCCCCATTTGAACATTTTCTTGCTATTTCACAATATCTGTTATACATTTTGGTCCTTACTTTCATTTTCAGTTTCTCATACCAGAGAAACAATGTGGTATTTACATGTGTCTGATTTATTTCACTTAAAGAGTATATGAGATATCCCTTTCACATCTTGAATTCATAGGGCTTGTGGGTCTGGCAGTTATTTCTCTCCACCCCTGCTCTATTTTTTGAGTCAGTGTCTCACTGTGTAGCTCCCAGGCTAGCTGTGAAGTCACTGTAACCCAGGCTGGCCTTAAACTCATGGCGATCCTCCTCCCTCAGCCTCCCAAGTGCTGGGATTACAGGTGTGCGCCACCACACCTGGCAAAATTCGTCATTTTCTTGAGCCGGAACCCTCCTCTTGCCTCTAGTTCCTTCCCTGTGCATGTTTTTTTCCTGACTTTTTCTCATTAACAGCTCTACTCCCAGCCTTTCTTTGGCCAGTGTGTTTTGGAGTCATACTCAGTGTATCAGTTTCATGCCAAGGAATTGGGCAGACATGGTTTCTGGAGCTTTTCCCAGAACTAATAAAGAGAATCTTTGGGTAGTGCCTGGGAATCTGCATGTTAAATAACTGGGTTAGGTCACCCTTTCAGGATGGATTTCTGCAGCCAGTTCCTAGCCAGTGTCCCAGTCCTTGCTTCTCAGTCTTTCAGATCCTAGTGGTAATGTCCCCACCTAAAACCCCTCAGCACTTATCATACTGTTAGGATAAAAGTCACCCTCTTTAACCAGGGCATGGTCGTGCATATCTATAACCCCAGCACTTGGGAGGCTGAGGGCAGGAGGATTGCTGTGAGTTTGAGGCCAGCCTGGGCTATATAGTGAGATCCTGTCTCAAAAAAAAAAAAAAGCCATGTTCTTTAGTTGGACCCAGAAGACTAGTGGTGTGTACCCTCATTTCTTTTTCTTCTTTTAACAACTGCATTACTTGTCACTTCTCACAAGCCTGGCCAGCCAGGCTTTTGTCTCCTGTTCCCTTTCCAGGAGATCCTTCCTTTCACAGTTCTCCAGCAATACCTTCTTACTGCTTTTCATGTGTTTACTCTGGCAGCCCTGCTTCTTATTAGGACCAAGTTCAGGCTGCCTGTGGGAAAGGGCTTCATTCTGCAGTTGGCCTTTGAGCTTGTTGGTGAACTGATAGTACCAACCTGCTGTGTGCTGGGTGCTTTCTCTAGAACTGTGCTGGATCAATTAAAAAATAATAAAGAGGTTGCCAGACGTGGTAGCACATGCCTGTTATCCCAGCACTCTTAAGAGCCTGAGAGAGGAAGATGGCAAATTTGAGCCCAGTCTGAGCAATGTGTGACTTAGCGCAAGACCTTATCTAAAAAGAAAAAGGGATGGGTATATAGCTTGTTTGAAAGCCCCAAGTTCACGCCTCAGTAACACACACACATAGGATGAGGGGAAGCGCAAAAGTTGTTCTGTGTAGTAATAGCATTTCTGGATGATTAGTATTCAATTTTTATCTTTTTTTGTTTTGACAGTGCTGTAGATTGAATTTAGGGCCTTGCACATGCTAGGCAGGTGTTTTACTATTCAGCTGTGTCCCTAGCTGGCTCCTTGTATTGAGTGCATTACACCATTAGAACCCAGGTGGGTGTTTTTTAGACTAATATAAAATACATAATGATAAAAGGTTATAGAGACATCACATTTTAGCATAGGTGTAAAATAGCTGGTCACTTTACACAAGTTGTTACCATAGAGGGCTGCCCTGTTTCAGCTATGCAAAATAACTTCAAAATTGTAAGACTTTAACTGTCCCTTACTTTTCTGTTAAGGATCTACATTGGAAGGCGTCTGACAACCTCCACCAGCACTTTTTGATGAAGAATTGGATCTAACTCGGCCGATATGGGGATTTGTGTCTGAGCTTGTGACAGCTAACTTGGAAGAGCTATCATGATCGTTGAGGGCCTGCACCACTTGTTTATTCTGTACATGCTGTGTTTCTGATTAGTAAAGTAACAGAATAGACACTAAAATCATGCTGATCTATAATTATACCTATGGGATCAATTCATAAGCATGGCAGACTAATACCTACTGTAAGAATTTAGTAGTAAATTTTCATTGGATATTAGATATAAATAGTCTAAATAATTTTAATATACTAGTCATGATGTATGTAATATTTAAAAATGTCTAACCTGAATTCAGTTAAAACACTTTATTTCAAAGAATGAGTAACATTGGTACAAGAATCACTACATTGCTGGGCATGGTGACACGTGTGTGATCCCAGCACTTGGGAGGCTGAGGCAAGCGGCTTGCCATGGTTTTGAGGCCAACTGAACTGCATAGTGAGATCCTGTCTCAAAATTATAACAAAACAGAAACAAAACAAAAAATGCATTAACAGATTTGCCCAAAAGAAATATCGTGGCCTTATAATTACACTGTAGCAGAATGTTTAATTTAGATTGATGCAGATTGTCTATAAAGACCACTTAACTATATAAATTGTTCTTAAATAATAGAGAACAAGGGACAATTACAAATTCCCCTCAGTTGGGGCACTAAGCGTTTGCTTTTCCAGTGAGGACTCCAGGTGTGGTCAGTTTTTTGATGAAGGTATCTATTCAGTATCTTTTACCCTTCGTTACTCTGGATTGCTGGATTTAATCTTATTGTTGTGCTCAACTTTTATGTGCTCTTAAAATTAGCTTTATTGTAAGCAAATCTATGTCTACTTTAGAAGACTGGAAATAGAAAAAAAATAAATTATTGCCAAATCCTTTGGAGAGTATTGTAATTACATAGGGTTAAAAATCAATTAATCACAAAAGTTTCTTGATTAAATCAGGCCTGTTCCCCGTTGTGTCATTCTTTATCTTTTCTACAGCATGATTTTTAGAAAGGCAGCATCTTTGATATGCTGTGTATATTATACTGTGTTGTTTGACCGTTCCACCCTTAATTCAGGTGTGTTAAAATAAATAACATTTAACTTTTAAAAGTTTTTGTTTATATTTAAACTATTATTTTGGAAACAGTATTTCATAGCCCTTTCATTTGGAGAAAAGTGATCAAATGACACCAGAATTCCCTGTATAATTTATGTCTGTGAGGCCACATTGAATCACACTGGATAAATCAGTTCCCTTTCTGCTTGTTATGAGAGCTGTGACGCCGAATATCATTTGAATTGGCACTCTTAAAGATTGCTCCACGAATCCCCTACTTACTGTCTGAATGACCACTCACATACTTGGGCCACTTGAAAAAAACTGTTGGTCACCCTTAATCTCTTTAACTGATGGCATTAACTGATCAGTGACATTCACTAGAAGTACTGTCATTATTAAAGTGCTTCAGATAAATGCTATCAAGATTTGAGTTTATCAGATCTTTATCAGTATTTTATTCACTTAAATATGGTGTATATTTTATATACAAACATCTATACACACAATGCAAGGTTACAGAATCTATAATCAAGTCTCATAAAATGGCACAGTATTTGCATATAACCTGTGTACATTCTCTCACATATCTGGATTACTTGTAATACCTAATATGATATTGCTGTATACATAGTTGTATTGTTTAGGGGATAATGACAAAGTGTAGATTTTTAGTGCAAGCAGATTTTAAATGTTATCCCAGTCTGGTCCCCGTCTCCTGGCTTAAGTGGTCTGGCCTTAGCCTCCTGAGTGCTGGGACTAAAGGCCTGAGCCACTGTGCCTGGCTGGGATTTTTTTTCTGAATATATACGATCCTCAGTTGCAGAAGGCCATGTTTCTTAAGCTTTAATTTCCGGTAAAATGATGGCAGGATAGTCATGTTTCTGAATAGCTTTGGCAAATAACTGTTATTTCTACTGTTGATTGTTTTACTGAAGAGCAAACATTTTTTGGTCTTTTTTTTTTGAGACAGGTTTTCAGTATGTAGTTGAGGCTGGCCTTGAACTCACTTTGTAGCCCAGGCTGGTCTCAAACTCACAGTGGTCCTCCTGCCTCAGCCTCCCGAGTGCTGCAATTATAGGTGTGCACCACCACACCCAGTTTTAAGTAGCAAATTTACAAATTTTTTTTTTTTTTTTTTTGAGACAAGGGCTTTGTAGTGCAGGCTGGCCTCACTTGGGGCAATTCTGATCCTCCTGGGGCAGTCCCGATCCTCCTGGCTTGGCTTCTTGATTGCTGGGGTTACAGGCGTGTGCTACCACCACATCTAGCTAAAATCGTTAAGGTCCAAATAATTGTGATGAGAGAATGATGCTTTGGGTACTACTTAGAAAAGCAGTTTCCTGGTGCAGACATGTGCCCCAAACCTTGGTGTCTGCTGTTAGACAGTGGAGTATGGCATGCTGCTAGGACCAATACAGATCTCTTCAGCTTGGGAGAGGAGCTGGGCAGTGCCTCAACAGTGGTGCTGGTGGTGCATGCTGCTGGTCCTAGCTAGTCTCCGGAGGATCACCTGAGCTGAGGAATTCGAAATCAGCCTGGGCAACAAAAAGATCCTGTCGCAAAAGACACTGACACTTTACATTTGACTTACAAACCACTTTTAAGAATTTACCTTGAAGATAAAGCTCAAATGTATGCATGTTTCAGGGTTTTGTTTTGTTTTTTTCTTTTTTTTGAGACAGGGTCTTGCTACGTAGTTCACACTGGCCTTGAGCTCACTTTGTAGCCCAGGGGGCTTTCGAACTCGTAACAATCCTGCCTCAGCCTCCTGAGTGCTGGGATTACAGGTGTGTGCCACCACACCCAGGGATGTTTGCATGTTAAAGTACGTTAAGGTATTTGAAGTGCCTGTAGAGGAGAGAGTAAGCCGTGGTACGGTCACACAAGGGTAGTATGCTGCTGAACACTGTCCAAAGGGGAAGAGATTAAGTGACCTGATGGTGACTTCCAGGATAATTGTCCGAAAAGCATTACCAAAAGAGAAATTTCGTGATAGATGCTTGAATAAACCTGTGGCAGGTTTCTAATTCCTAAGGAGAGAGGTCTGTCCTCCCCTTTGGTCAGCAGGATAAGGAGGGAGTGATGCATGGCTAGTTCTGGGCCCAGGTAGCCATAAGAAGCTGGCAGCTGTTACTTCCTGACCCTTGGAAGAACTTACTGTGGGTCCAACCCTCCATGAGGGAAAGAAGCCAGCCTGCCCAGTGGAGAGGCTACCTAGAGAAGGTTAACAGCCAGCCAGTGAGCCTGTGGGCCACCAACCCTGGTTATCCACCCTTCATAGCTCTTCCAGCCTCGGGATAGCTGCCCTAGTTGAAACCATATGGAGTAAAAGCTGAACTTGCTGATCCCTGCCAAAACTACTTATTGATGAACAAAATGGTGGTTATTAAGATGATACAAATTGGTTATTTAAAACTAAAACAATTACCTGGGTATGGTTATGCATGCCTATAATCCCAGTACTGGGGAGGCTGAGGCAGAATTGCCACCAGTTTAAGGCCAGCCTGAATGTGTGTGTGTGTATATATAAAGATCCTGTATCAAAAAGAAACCCCTTAAAATAAATGTATAGTGTTCATTTTTTATATGACAAGAGCTAAGGAAAATATAACACTGTAATTTGTGCAAAAAATGGAGTAGATAAACAAATGAGATTTATTGGGTACAAAAGATGAGAGAACAGGTAGAATGAGCAAACAGGAAGGGTGCAGGAGTAGGTATAGTTTTTGGACAACTGACTCAGAAACAGCAGTGCCCCACATACTGCCCAATTAAAATAAGTACTTGGGGAGGGGTTCACCCAAACAAAATACTGTGTAAGGGAAGCTAAGAGTTACAAGTGAGTTGTAAAACCACGTTGAATGGGGTGGGGAAGCACTCACCTGAGTAACTGGAAACAGTATTGGGACTGGATAAAGTTAGTTTATACGTATAGTAAAACTGAGCAGTGACCATATTACGGATAATGAGCTGAGCCTTGGGAAAAGACAGGAAATTTGGGAGGGGCACAGGTGATGGAAAGCTGTGTGAAGCTTGTGCTGGATGTAAATGGGAGGTATCCCTCCGGGTTTGGGAGACAGGTATCTCTGAGCACATGTATGTCTAGCTTGGCTCCATGACTGCCAGACACTTGAATGGTAGCAAGGCCGCCAACAGCCTTATCCTCCAATAAGGACTCTAGATTCTCTAGTACGAGGAACCAGGCTCCTCAGATAAGTGGTTCACTAGGACAAATGAATTGAACTTTTGTGGTGCCAGAAAGTAAGAAAGTACTCATGGAGCAGTGAACACTGAAAAGACACAGGCCAGCACGTCCAACTGGAAGGGACTGGGACAATCTGAGTAGCAAGATCATGACAATATTTTTAGCCACAGAATAAAATAGGTGTACTGTATTTGTCCATACTGATAACAATAATGTAGTCAGGGATTGTAAGAGAGTAGATTTGCTACAGGACACTTTATTTAGCATTCAGCAGTGTTTATTTTGAGCTAATAAATATTGTCTGACTTTCATTCAGTCTATATGCAAACTGGCCTTTCCTGATAGGTTTCTAATTATTTGTAAGGACACATACTTTATAGGAGGATTTTACAGTATTCACCCAAAAAGCCAGATGCAGAAGACTACAAGAGATTTGTCTACGTGGTAGAGACCCAAAAATCCAGCCACAACCCTGGACCCCACAGCAGTGTCCCACATGAATCCAGCCAAAGGCCTATATCCCATAGCAAAGTCTCATGCAAACCCGTATCAAGATCTGCACTGGGCCAGGCGTGGGATTGCATGCCTGAAATCCCAGCACTCCGGAGGCTGAGGCCAGCCTGGGCTACATGGTGAGTTCAAGACCTGCCTGAACTACATAGCAAGATCCTATCTCAAAAGCCACAAAACAAAAAGCTAACATCTGCACTGGGAAGCCCCAGTGGCCAATGGTGGAAGCTACAAAATCTGTGCTGGCAAGGTGAAGGATCTGCACCAGAAGGCTGAGGGATCTGCCCTGGAGCTAGGAAGCAATGCTCAAGGTAAAGAGAAGATCTCCCTGGAAAGAACAGCAGCCATCCCTGGCAACAGCAAGGACCTGAGCTCCTCTGACAGAAAACCAGCAGCAGTAAGCATGCACCCTTTCCCTTCTCATTCGTTCATGCCCTTGGCAACAATCCTCAGGTGGGCCTTTGATGCCCAGAAACATGCTGATGGAGTTCAGCTGGGCGTTCCCACTCTGACCATTAGTTAATCCACCACAATAAATAACCAAGTAGGGGACATCTTCCTAACAATCTAAATTAACAAATATGGAAGGAAGGAATGATGGAAATAGAAAACCCTTATTAAGCAAACCACAAAAACTTTCGAATTATCGGTGGAAGCAACTTAGTGTGAAAGGATGATGAAAAAGGATGATTTGTCACCACAAGATGCCAATTAGAAAACAGCAAATAGGTTGCACTGGAGAAACCAGGTACACTATGTCCTGATGCGAAGCACTGAGAAGATAACAAAGTCTTTTCTCTATAGTTTTTGCCAAGATGACTAACGGCAGTTCAGACATAGGATATGTTAGGTGTTATAGTTTATATCCACTTGCGCCCGTCCCCTAAACCTTGTGCATTCATAGGTGGGCCTTCTGAAAAGTGATTGTATTACTGGGGCTGTTTAGCTGACTTGCTGTTAGGAGGAGGGGTCTGGTTAGTAAAAGCAGATATCTGAGGCTGTGAAATAATATCTGTCTTTCTGGCTCCTCCCTGGCTTTCATGATGTGAGCAGCTCTTGCCCAGATCCTTCCACCTTGCTGCTGACCATGTAAGGACTAAAATGTAAGCCAAAATAACTCCTTCAAGCTGTGGTGTCAGGTATTTTGTCCCAGTGATGAGGAAAGACATCAGGCAAACCTAAATTAGTGATTGTACAAAATAATCTTCACAAATGTTAAGGTTTGAAAGACTTGAGGAAGAGACTAGACAGGGTGGTAACACATATACCCTGGGTCCCGGACAAGGATCAAAAGATGTGAGAGACAGCCAGTAAAATCCAAAGATGGCAGGAGAG